TTTGTGGAGAAAGGTCTTAGCTTCAAAATCATGTTTTGTTTTTTTGGTGTTACATTTCCATTTCTGGTATACTAAAGAATATACAAGACCAATAAAAAGTTGTGGGACTAGGTGTCCTGCACTATATATCGTTAATTTCACTGACTCGAGGTCAGACAAAAGTAAATGAAAGATTAATATTAATTATGGAAAAATTCAACATCAGGAATATCGATACAAAAATAAAAACGAATTACGAAAAATATATAAATTAATTGTGAAATGGGGAGGAAACAGTTGGGCTTCGGTGCACCTTTCGAGGAGGATGTGAAGTAGCCTGTTCTAGCGCCTGCATGAGCAAACTCTTGTTCACAATTACAATATTTCTTAAAGTCAATAATAATCACATCAGAGGCTTTACATGCCACGACATGTCCAAAGTTAATGGAATTTCTGCTTGATCCAGATGGAAGTATATTGGTATTCCGCTCACATCATTTATGAGAACATTCAAATAAATTTTCTCGCCAGCTACCTGGATTCCAACTACACCAAACTGATTGCAAATGGGCCTACATATAGAATTTTTATAGCTAACCCCGTCTAATAATTCTCTCCATAATTTTGTGTCATCGTCTATCTTTTTAGTAGCACTGCAGACAATACGCAAACTTTCCGCGAATAAAAATTCCACCAATTTCCCATTGCACTTTTCTAATGCCATGACATCAGGCTTTTTGCCCATTTTTTTCCTACCTGTTCCATCGTTTCTACGTGCCTTACTTGCCAAGCTTTGACGCTCAGCTGTACTTAAACAAATACGGTCATTTGGTAAATCTCCAAGACTAGCTCGAAGTAAAGGCATGATCACATCCGTGATATAAGTCCCTTCACTTTGCATATTACAGGTCATGCTTGTCTCAAAAGCTGGATTATTCCACACTTCTCCTCTAAATTTATGAATATAGATAGATTAAGTTAGTCTGGAAATACACATAAAAAATTACTAATTATTTACAGTATACTAAGTATTCGTTCAGCTATTTTTTCTAGGTCAGATTCGTTCTCCTTCCATAATCCATTATGTGTAATATTTCTGAAACAATCTGGAACGCCTATTTCATTAAAATTATTTACAAATTCGACGCACTTAAAAGAAACTGAGTCTGGGAGTTTGCATCTCATGTTCTCTCGAGGTTCCTAAATAATATATATATAATTGTTTATAAATAAACTTCACAAGATATTTTTCAATGTAATCGAATTTCATTAATATATTAATATATTAATATACTGTGCATTATTATCGAAAAAATACGTTTCTGTTTCCGACCTAGATTATTTACCACCACCGAATCATCACTGAGAACAGTACTTGCAATTGGATCCCTCCAAGTAAGTTCAGAAACATCTACTGAATTACCTATTCCACTCTTAAGAGCATCGTAAAGAATTCCGTCCACAATTGTCATAGGAGAACTAAGCTTCGATCTCAATGTTCTAAAATTCTGTACGATTTCTTCTCGTGTACAATCTGGATCCGATTCTTGAGGTATATTCAGTGCCTTTAGTGCTTTTAAACCAATGATAGTATTATACCCATTCTCCATCTACAGCAAATGTAATAAGTAAATATGTGATCACATAATAATACAATGATATATCCCTCCTATATAAGTAATGGGTCATGACCCCACATCCTCAAGGATCTTATGATATTCAAATAATCAGATATAACTTTCAATAAATATAAGCTTCTGAAATGGCCATGCACATCCAAGGGGGAGCAGAAACCCTCGATGTCATGAGAAAAATTCCTGGCTACATTGCTCTTCTGGGCCAGCATTCCTCAGACTTTAGCAATGGCCAGCTAAACTAACAGCTTATACATTTGCTATATTTCATCATTAATTAACCCACAGTATGATGCATATTTGATATAACTAACCTGTGGCAATATCTCCAATATCTTAGATTTTCGATTAGAGTCTTCTATTTTTACAAGGCAGAACTAATTGCACGATCATTCAAACTCCTAATTGTGTTGTAGTCAGCCACTTTATCATCCTCCATTGTTAAATAAAAAATTGAGCCACTGCAAATAGCTTCCAAAGGGGCTTCCAACAAAAAAGATTCGATTTTTGCTATTAATTTTGCCATGTTTGAAAAATATATATTTTAATAAGTATATGATGCACGATACAAAAATCACTTAATAACAGCGATAAAAATCGATATACTATCCTTTTAATAAAGTTTATTTTGTGTTGTAAAAGTTAATTTATAATATAATACTTACCAGCTGGTTATTATAAAGAAATAAAAAATAAATTTATTTAATTAGATGATGTTTTAATAAAGTTTATTTAGTTTAATTTATAATATAATGCTTACTCCCTAAGAATAAAATAAATTTATTTAATAAGATGACACCATAATAAATTTTATTTTGTGGAATATTTATAGAATTCAGCTAATTATTTTATTATAAAGCAATATTAAATAAACCCTTTTTATATTTTTAAAATAGTTATTTTCTATGTATGAAAAAAATACCTTTGTTCATTTTTTTATTAGAATATAAAGGAATTTTTTATCACTGTTCCTTGGCAGTAACA